CAGGCTGGTACGCACTCAGCTGCCCACTTTCCCTCTCCCCCTGCCCCACTCACTCATCTGTGCCCCGCCTTTCCACCACCCTCCGAGCTCAAAGCAAAGGTTCATCAAAGGCTAATGTCTCCACAGTGTTCTTGGCGCCCAGTCTCTTCAGTCTCCTAGCAGTTACTTTTCTGCTGAGCCTCCAACCCTCCCCTCCTCATCAGCAACAATCCTGCTCAGATCTCCCCAGCAATTAGGCCTATGCTTTTCTCTAATTCTCCCAAGCCTTCCATGCTAAACACCAGAGTAACCACATTCAGTGTACCTCCTTGGTCTAAGTTCTCCTTCACCCAGTGGATGCCACTACAACTCCTCTTCCTCTTAAATTGCCAAATCCAGAATACCCATCTCAGTGTTGAGCAATTCTGGAATATTCAATTTTCCAAAATGGTTGCAAAAACACTCCCATGTTAATATGTTTCCAGAACCTTGCCATTCCCTCATTAAGCAGGAGAATCTATTTCTCAGCTCCTGAGCAAAATGAGTCTTTGTGGCTATTTCAAACAACACAGTAAGAAAGAAGTAATTCTGGGATTTCCGAGGCTAGGTCATAAAACTGTAATGTATTTCCAACCTTATTCTAAGAGGAGATTTGCTCTTAGAAACCAGGCACCATGCTGTGGGGAAGCCCAAACAGCCATGTGGAAGCCCACATGGAGAAGAAGCAAGGCCTAGCCCTCAGGCCTAATGGAGCTACCAGACCACTGCCAGCCCCAGCTTGTCAGCCATGTGTGTGGGCCACGCTGGAAATACATCCTCCAGCTCCAGTCAAGCCACGCTTTATGTACCCTAGGGCTGCATAAAACACAACGTTCTCTCCCAAGCCCTGGCCAAGGTCCAAACTCACCAGCAAAACTCATAGCTATTGTTTCAAGCCACTAAATTTTGAGACCAGTTCATTATACAGCATGAGATAACTGATACAGCACCTTCTTCTTAGATGTCTTTTCATCAGATGTAGAGGTATTTCTCAATCCTCCTTCAGAAACTTACCCTCTTGTGTTCACTCCCCAAATGACGATGCCCCCTACACTTTTCCCACCCCCATCTCTCTTTACTATAAACACCTCCTCAACCATTCCCCCCAACTCAGCAATCATGAGTATCTTTGATCATAAATCCTGAATCTGTATTCCATCCTGAAATCCAGAATGACAGGTGCTGTACTCAGGGTTTACAAGGGAATAGATTTAATACAGGACACATAATTCATGGGATTATTTTTAATTTTCACCCAAAAATCATATGCAGAAGAGTGCAATAGACCTGTCCATGCACTAGAGGCCCAAAGAATCCAGCTAAGGGCTTGGATAGCACAGCAATGTCCTTCAGGAGTTCAGCTGAAGATCTTGAGCCCATGGCAATGTCCTCCACAAGTCCAACTGGCAGCCTAAAGCCCACAACATCTCGTGTAAGTCTGTATCAAGGATGTGCACTGGGAAAGACCAAAGGTCAGTGATGGAAGCTAGAAATTCTGTGCCAGAAGCACGAAGGATCTGTGCCAGCAGGCTGAGGGATCTGCACTGGAGCCAGGAAGTGATACCCAAAGTAAGGACAAGAGCTCCCCCAAAGAGAAATGCAGCCATCCTGTGACAGTGAGGACCTGAGCTCCTCCAATGATGAGAACAGCCAAGTTCATATCCAGAAAACCAGAGTGACAAGCTTCTCCAGGAGACTCACAGCACACCATTTTCTTCTCCAGTTCTCCTTTTACGCTTTGGCAACAGTCCTCAGATGGGCCTCCCATACCCAGAACCACACTGATTTAGTTCAGCTGGGTATTACAAGTTGGCCTTTAGTTAATCCACCACAAAAGGGAAATCCCTACCCAAAACTATCAAAAGCATCCTCTTACCCCACATGGCTACTCCATCATTCATTTCACTTGACCCAGTACACTGCCTCTCACAGGAAACATTTCCCAGGCTCCCCTGCCAACTTGCTTCCAGGTAGGTTTAGCAAATGGGCAATGTTAGTGGAATACAGAGAACCCAAAGAGATGAAAAATTCGCCTCAAACCACATCTGTGGCCCCAGCTACCAGACCCTTCATTTGTGATCCAGCTCCACTTGGCAGACTCACCTTGGTCCTAGCACCGACCAGCCACTCTCATCTCCTGAGCTCTGGAAAACCACCTCTTCTCCTTGTCCTTCCTCCACAAAGGTGGCAGTGGCTTCCCGCTGTTGGTAATTATCTCACCATCTTATTTAGGGTCTCAGCAATCCCATTCCTTGTAAACCCTGTTTTCTGTTTTAAATTTCCTCTGTTTGAAATATCTAGGGCAATTTTTTCTCAATAGGACCTGGCTCACACACACAGTTAAACTCACCCAAATATAATCATTCATGCCAGAAATGTAACATACACTTCAGTCTCCTCCTTTTCATCCGTACTAGACTTTGTCCCCCCCATGTAAAGCTGGTCACAAACTCCAGATGATTCCACCACTTGAGCTCATCCCTCTCCTCCACTGCATCATGATGCCTTGTTTCATAGCCTTATTTGCCCCTCAGACCAGAGAGGCAGCCCCTTAATTAATTTCCTGGCTACGGTCTTTCTGCGTTCTGGTATGTCCTCCAGACCACCAACAGATTTTTATTTCTTATGCACATCTGACTGTAATAGTGCCCTGATTAAAACTCTTACATAGTTCCCCACTGACTACAAGAAAAAATCAGACAGCTCAGTCTCACAAATATGTGCTAAGAGTTGACTGTGTTCTCTATTCTACACGACAGCCTGGTACCTGAGCCCTCTGCACATCCTGCCTACCTGCCTAGCCTCATCTCTACCTACTCCCAGCAATCAGAACTACCTGAAGTCCTCCACATACACCCTGTTCCTCTAAAACCTGGGCCGTCCTTCCTTTGCCCATCTGTCTCATGGAGTCCTCAGGAGTCCACTCCAATATCACCTCCTCAGTGAAGCCCCTCTGATGCCCCCACCCATCCAGGCACAGTGCTCTAAGCCCTTCACAAACACCCCTTTAACACAGCTCATATCTCCTCTCTGTTGTTTGTTTACATACTGTCTCCTCCACCAAACAGGGAGCCTCCCAAGGATGAGGAGGGATCTCACCCTCCTTCTCATGTCCAAGCACCCTATTAGCACAAAGTGCAGAAGAGACCTACAGGTACCTGCTTGGTTGAAAGGGAGGTGAAAGGATAAACTAAGAGTCTAGGAGCAGGGGAGGGAACAGAGAAAGGAGAGGGACATACCAGTACGTTGAACAGATTGCTGATCTCCCAGCCCAACAGTGGGGGCTCAGCCTCTCTCTCCTTTGGCCTAGGCATGGAGCCAGAAAACTCAGGAGGCACACTAGAGCCTCCAAGGCTTTGCCCAGAACCATTTTCTGGCAGGTAAATTTGTTTGTTCAAAACAAATGTCAGATAAGCAAACACAATCTGCATAATATTGCTATGTGATCTGCATGTCATTTGTACATCCCTTGCAGCCATATGCTCTCTTTTACTACTTAACAAGTTATCATGTAACTTTTCCTAACCCCTCAAGAAATTACCTTTCATTCCTCTCATTTCTACAACATCTCCTACTAAGGTCCCCCTGGCCCCCACAGCTGCTCAGCAAGTTCTGAGACCATCTCAGAGGGTTCCCGGGGTGAATCAAGAACTGACCAGCCCTGACATCTGGAACATATAAAGAACTCAAAACAATTAGACCACCCCCAAAAAGAAAGACTAAATCAAAAATGGGCAGTTGAAATGAACAGATACTTCTCAGAAGTACAGATGGCAAATAAATACATGGAAAAAAATGTTTAATATCACTGGACATAACAGAAATGCAAATTAAAACTACTGTGAGATACCATCTTATCCCAGAAAGAATGGCTATAGTCAAAAAAATCTAACAATATCAAATGCTGGTGAGGATGTGGAGAAAAAGAAACTCTTCTACATTGTTTGTAGAAATGTAAACTAGTACAACCTCTATGGAAATCAGTGTGGAAAGTTCTCAAAAAACTAAAAATAAAAATACCATTTGACCAGCTATACTTCTTCTAGATATCATCCCAAAAGAGTTGAAGATATCGTATTATAGGGACACATGCATACCCCTGGGTGTAGCACATAATTTGTAATACCTAGATCTTGGAAACAGCCTGTATGTCCATCAACAGATAAATGGATTAAAAAAAATGTGGTATTTATACATAAGGATGTACTACTCTGCCATAAAGTGAGATAAACTTGAGGCACTCATAGGTAAGTGCATGCAACTGCAGAACATAATATTAAGTGAAATAAGTCACACACACAAGCTTAAATATTGCAAGGTTTCTCCTATACAAGAAATTCTGTGCTTAATAAAATATATATTTTTTTAATATGTGTATATTTATATATGTAATAAAATATATCCACATATAAAGAGCAAAATAGAAGATAGGAAGTAGAAGTTTAAATAATTCCCCAAATTCTCTATTCCATTACTTCAAAAATATTTCAACATACTGTATATGCTAACTTGTTTTATTTATACTATTTGTTTCTCTTCATTCATTGAAAAGGAAATTTTGTGCTATTATCTGTTTCTTCTTTGCAAAGTCTTTTTTGTCTACGACATGTACTCTGAGTAACACTTTGGAGGTTCTTTTAAGACTGTGGTACACAGCATATTAACTATTGTTAATCTCTATTTTGTTATGAAATTTTATTTTATTGTTTCATAGAAGAGTACTTTTATATTTTACTTATTAACATCTACATATACTATATTAAAATAGATTTTTATTTTAAAAAGAGCTGACCAGCCCTGCCATGGGCTGTGGTCCTAAGTTGTCATGACGCTGTTTAGCTATGGTCTCTGCTCTCCTCTCCCACTCTGCTGATTAAGGGGTCACACTCTACCCGCCAGCCTCACCCAGTGTCACTGAGGCCACCTGGATCCCAGGGAAATACAGACTGAGGACAAAGGAAAGAGAAAAGGGGGCTGCCCACCTCCATCAGGAGAATGTCCTTTGAGCTCTGTGCCTGCACCTTCGGGTGCTGGACCTTCACGGCCACTGTCCGCCCATCACGCAGCACCGCCTTGTGGACCTGGGCCAGGGAGGCTGCTCCCAGAGGGGTGTCATCGAAGCTCAGAAATAAATCGTGGAGCTGTCAGGAGTGGAGAGAAGACAGAGTAACTGAGAAGATAATATCTCAATTAGTGAGGGGGGGGGCAGGAAGATGGGCCAGAGCTTCCTCTGCCCCCTCACAGATTTTTTGCTTTTATCAGGTTGCCCAGGGTCTGGGCTGGCCCCTTCGCTATGGTGGAGATTCACTCCAGGCAAATGGGGAGCTGGGACAAAAAATACACAAAAGGTACACAGGGCCCTGGGCATCTCCATCAAGGCCAGAGAAATGCTGTATAGAATATTCAGAACCGTGCATCATGCACCCATTTAATCATCCACCATTGTCTCTCCTGGGCTCTCACATGCAGATACAGTGGTACTCAGTACTTGTTGTTAATTGACTCTAAGAGGTACAATGAGCACCAAAAATGAAGGGTACCAAATTGCTTCGGCTGGAAATGGTAGCCAATCATGAGGCAATCGACACCAGTAAGTGCTAACTTGCATGTCCAGTACCAAACAAAACAAGCAATGAGTACTGGGACAAAATCTTTACATCAAAAGGTGTCAAGCACCAAATTCGATGAATCTCAAAGCAGTCAAATGCCAAAGCATGATTGTAATTTAAAGTGAATATAACTAGGTCCTCAGCAGCCCACAAGATCAAATAGAAGACATTCTAATTCCACCAACCAAGAGAGCTCAAGAACCCTGAGCCAGATGATCCAAACCCAATCTCAATCCTGCCTGAGCAGCAGCCTCAGTATGGGCTCCCGAAGCTGTTCCTGGCCTGGCCACCCTGGAAGAGACCCCATGGCTGCCAACCAGAGCAATCCTGCTTGGGCAGACTCCCCGCCCTTTCTCTGCCTCCTTTCTCCCTCTATGAAGTAGAAAATACATCCTTCTTTCTTTCCTTCCTTTCTCCCCGCCTTCTTGCCTCCTCTTTTAGAAATGCAATACCAATTTTCCTGGAGGGGAAATCCTTTCTGACTAGAGTACTCGCAACTACATAATCCTAATATGAATACTCTATAGGATGGTAGGAGCTCAGAGCTCTTTCTTGGCACAAAAACCCTTGATCTTGGCCCTGGCCTTGGAGTACACCAGGACCATTTTCCCATAAACTCCACAAGAGCATCATCTCCAAATGAGCACGGATTTCTGTCTATTCTGTTCACTGCTGAATTCCCTGTACCTAGACTAGGTCTAGAACTAGTAAGTGTCAAGCTGGTGTTTGTTGGATGAATAAAGCCACTATTCTCTCAGTTGGAGAACTAAATCAACTTTCTCTCCCCTTTGAAACAGCTAGGGCTTCCTATTCCCACACCCCTACTAACCCAAACATCCCAAATGGATACTCTTTCAAAACAGTGGAAGTGTACACGGGGATTCAATCTCCCAGGCTGGTGAGACCCCAGCCCTGGCCAATCAGAACACAGACTATCCTGCCCATCCTGATTGGTTCACAGATGGATATGTGACCCTACTGGTTCAATCATGTTCAATTTTTCTGCATTTATTTCAACTGTGGGAAAAGAAATTCTTTCTATTGAACTTGAGCAGAATAATATGAGCCTGGGCATGCCCAAAGGCACAAGTAGCAGCAAGGAAAAAAGAGTCAAGAAACAAAGTATATCTTGGTTACAAAGTTTCAGTCCCTTGATCTAACCATGCCTGAGTTCCCACCCTATAACTCCTTTTTTAAAGTTTGCATAAATCTATTTGAGTTTTGTGTCACACACAACTGAAGTAGCTATGACTGATACAGTGCCATTCCAAGGCCCCAGGTGAGAGAAATGAAAGCCCATGGACAAGGGTCCCAGACCCTTAAAAGACTCGATAAGTGTAAGCTCCAACTCCCACCACCATCCTCTTGCTGGGCCAGGGATCCAGAAACAGAAGAGAAAGCAGGGCTTCAGCAGTGTTCCCAGGTGCTGCACAGTGAGATCCACACCGATGAATGTGGAAGCCTTCTTGGAGAACCATCAAGGAGCAGAGCTGTGAACTCAGACCCTCATCCCCAAGCAGCCAGTGAGGGGGGTGCTTCCTGCAGCAAAGGACCCTGGGGGCCCTCTAACCTCACTCCCCACCCCAAGTCTTTGCCTGACCCCAGAAACATCTGCTCACTGACTGAGAAGGACAATCAGTCTTCAAACCTGTGTCACTGCAGGGACATTGCTGAATCACTGCAACCAAAGAGTGACATGGCATCCATCGCTAGCACTGTGTGACAAGAACAGCTGCCAAGAACACCCCACAGGGACGTGGAAGAAGGAAAGAGCTGAGGCCAGCAGATCCGAATCTCCAGAATGAGAGGAAGCCTAGTTTGCCATATCCCCGGGGAACAGGGAGGGGGCCTCCCACAATTTCCTGCCCCCATCAAGGGATCAGAGAGACCCCAAGACACCACCCAAGCCCAGCTGCCAAGTCAGCACCCTGAACCAGCCCAGCTGGGGGATCTGCCCTAATTCCCAGTTTTACCAGTGGAAGCAAAGAGAAGCGTGGCAAATAGGATGCACCATTCCCTTGGCACAAGGCACCTGTCAGGCACCTGTCAATGCATCCCTCACCACAGCACCCCACGGTGTGCCTGCAGCCATTGCTTCCCTCTCTAGCTGGAAGCAAGTCCCACACCCACACCCTCCTGTGCTTACACAAGCGCACACACACACACACACACACACACACACACAATAATTGATTGCTAGTGGATGTTCCTAGCTGGCTTATAAAAAAGGTAATTAAAGATTGGTGCTGCAGTCTGTAATTAAATATGAATAAAGTATCTCTAAATGGAACCTTGATTCAAAGTGTTCAGTGGAAGTACTTTATGCTGATAGATAGTAAGGAAAAATAGACCCTGTCCCGAAAGCAGAATTATACCCCCCATGCAGCTGAAACAAATGCCACCCCCTCCAATCAGTGAGGATGTGCCTCGTCCCCAGCCCTTTCAGCACAAAACCATTAGCAGAAACAAATGGCAGCATTTGCAGCAATTAGATTCAAGCAGGGCCCTCAGCTGCCTCCAGTCACTCTCGGAAACTTGTCTCCCTTTCTAAGGTTTTCTTTCCCCCATTCTTTCTTCTGAGTCTGGCGGCAAAATCAATTAAGTAAAACAACTGCATTTTAAAATGACTAGTTATGTGCTTTTTAATTACTGTCGGCCCATGATTCAAATATATCGATGCCCCTGCCTGGAAAAGAAGAAATTATCAGGAAGAAAAGTGTACCTGGTTTAGGTGTGCATGCATGTATATGTGCATGTCTGTGTACACGTGTGTGTGTGTCTGTGCGCGCTTGTGTGTACACGCACTTAAAGGGAAAGGGTTCTTTTATGAGGAAAAAAATCAGAGAAGCAGGAAGAATGTGTCCACCCTTGGGATCTTGGCAGACCAGGGCCCATTAACACTTCAGCTGTCTGGTTTAGCCAAGGACTGGCACTCTGGGGACTAGTGGCATTACATGTGAATCACAGCGCGGAGTGAGACATTCTCCACTATATCAGCCACACAGATCCCGTAACACCAGGTTACTGGGTAACATTTCCCAAATACACAATGACCAGCTAACCACTGGCTAAGGGCTTCATTTGGCCCAAAATAAGATAACAGGAAGTCAGGATTCTTGGAGAAGCTATAATATGACTCCTGGAGAGTTCTGCTTGGAGTGTCTTAGCCAGCCCCACCCAAGCCGACAAGCCTAGCCAGCCTTGGGCCCCCTCATGGAGACTGGCTCATCAGTCCCAGGGTGGAGGATGGCCTGGGCTTTCCACCAAGACCCAGTTTCAAATATTTCATTCTGTTTTCCCCATACTCATTCACATCAGACCAATTTTAACTTCAGAAGTTTCACTATCATATGGATAACGCATCTCACAAACCCTGACTACCTGGCTCCAGATGAAGACAGGAGACTGCCTCAAAGCAAGCAATCACAGGCCTAAAGGGCAAGGCCCGGCAGTTCCTATATAAGAGCTGCAGAGACTGCCCAGGGCACTCGAGCAGGTTACCATGGTATCAAGGCAAATAACATCCGGCTCTCATGGTTGAAAGCCAACCCACCCCGTGCCTGGCTCGGTACCAGCTGCCATCCACTGAATTCTGGTGGGACTAGTGTCACTTATACTAATGGAATGCCTGAAGTGACCCTCACCCACCACTCCACGCCCACCTAAGGCAGTCAGGATGGCTCTCAATAGCAGGAGCTTTGCAAATGCCCACATCTGCCTGGGACAGAAAACCCACCACCACCTCTCTGCCTGTCCACTGGGAGTCCATCCCCGCCTCTGGGCACCATTTCCCAGGGTCCTGCCCCAGGTACCCTACATCTTATAGTCACCCTACCTGCTTGCTGCAATTCCAGCCTCTCCCCAACCCTAACCATGTCTGCTTTGAAGCCCACATCTTTGGGGTCATTCCTGTACCTTCTAAGGTGACACCTGATAGTGACAGCAAACAGCTGGGACATGTACTCTCACTCTCCACGGTGATTTTAAAATACAGTCACAAGTTTTTAAATTACCCCCTTTGAAAAGTAGTCTATTCCCTCTGCTTCAGAGGAACCTGGAATGAATGACCCACCCCCAACAGGGAGCATGCACAGGAAGGAACAACAGGTGACCTCCATGGTTGTTATAGGAGGCACCACAATGTCCTCTCTCAAGCAGCCAGCAGTGAGGTCCACAGGTAAGGAACAGAGGCCTCCTGCCCACAGTGAGCTGCCAGAAGCAGACTCTCCAGCCCTGGACAGGTTCCCAAAGACTGCAGCCTTAGCCAACATCTTGACGCAGCCTCATAAGCGTCCCTGCATGTGTGGGTTAATGTTAAGTGTCAGCGTGACCAGATTAAGCAACACCTAGAGAACAAGTGACGCACTGCTTCTGGGTGTGTCTATGCAGGCGTTCCCAGAAGAGGTAGGCACTGCATGAGAGGACTGAGTGAGGCAGATCTGCCCTCAGAGTGGGTGACTACAATCCATCCAGCTGGGGGCTCACACAGAGCAGGATTTTCCTTTCTCTCCCTGATTTGGAACATTGTCCAC